ATAGAATAGAATAGAATAGAATAGAATAGAATAGAATAGAATAGAATTCTTTATTGGCCAAGTGTGCTTGGACACACAAGAAATTTGTCTTGGGTACATAAGCTCTCAGTGTACATAAAGAAAAAAATAAAATACATTGCTCAAGAATCATAAGATACAACACTTAGTGATAGTCATAGGTTACTAATAAGCAATCAAGCCATACTAGGAAATAAATAAAACAATATAAATTGTAAAGATACAAGCAACATGGTTATAGTCATAAGTGGGAAGAGATAGGTAATAGGAAGGATGAGAAGAATAGCAATACAGTCTTACTAAATAGTTTGACAGTGTTATGGGAATTATTTGTTTAGCAGAGTGATGGTGTTCGAAGAAAAACTGTCCTTGTGTCTAGTTGTTCTGGTGTGCAGTGCTCTATATAGCGTCGTTTTGAGGGAAAGAGTTGAAAACAGTTTATCTCCGGGATGTGAGGGGTCTGTAGATATTTTCACAGCCCTCTTTTTGACTCGTGCAGGATACAGGTCCTCGATGGAAGGCAGGTTTGTAGCAATTGTAAAATTGGTCAATAAAACAAGCTATGGGAAGCTTGGCAAGAAATATCATACCGTTTGTAAATTCAGCCAGTAGCTCTATCTTATGGTTTAGTGCATGAGCACCCACAAGGCCTGTGTGTGTGTGTGTGTGTGTGTGTGTGTGTGTACGTGTGTGTGTATGTGTGTATGTGTCATGCATATCACGATGTCATTGGAGTAGTGTTGTGAATTCAAAATGGCTCATCCAGTGATTTGTATGCTTGTAAATCCAGGTTCTACACCTTTAATATTTGTGACGAAACTGAAAGCTTCCTTCCAACCAATGTTGAAAGGCAATATATTTTCTGTAGCAAAAATGCTATCAGCATTCCACATTCAAGGTGCCGCAACCAAGATCCTCCATATGTTTGAAGGAACGTTGGGATGTTTCAAGTGAAATACGGAGGGTTTCGGTGGTGTAGAGATGCCACCAGTGTGGAGTATCAATAAAGGAGAATATTTGTAGCTTGTCGTGATCTGGGCAGTCTTTGGTTCTTCTCTCCGTTTGCTTGTATTGTATACCCAAACTAGGTAATGAAAAATCTGTAAGAAAATAACCAAACTCAGTATAGAGTATCACAGGCAGTGATTAAATGTGAAGTTCCCATTGTTTATCAGTTTTCACTATTTGCAGAATAGCAAAGTTGGAAAGTTCAGAGATGCAGTGGCTCAGGGGCTAAGATGCTGAGCTTGTCGATCAGAAAGGTCGGCAGTTCGGCAGTTTGAATCCCTAGTGCTGCGTAATGGAGTGACCTCCCGTTACTTGTCCCAGCTTCTGCCAACCTGCAGTTCGAAAGCACGTAAAAATGCAAGTAGACAAATAGGGACCCCTTTGCTGGGAAGGTAACAGTGCTCCGTGCACCTTCGGCATTTAGTCATGCCGGCCACATGACCACGGAGACGTCTCCGGACAGCTCTGGCTCTTCGGCTTTGTGACGGAGATGAGCACACCGCCCCCCTAGAGCTGGAAACAACTAGCATGTATGTGCGAGGAGAACCTTTACCTTACCTTTAAAGTTGGAAAGGACCTTGGAGGTCTTTTAGTCTAACCCCCTGCTCAAATGGGAGACCCTATATCAGGGGTCCCCAACCGCCGGTCCACGGACCGGTACTGGGCCGCGGAACAAGCCTTACCGGGCCGCTGGTTGCTGGGCGCCGCCATCTTTTTTTGGTAAAAAAGTGCTTCCGGTGAGCTTTTCCGGGTAGAAAGCTCACCGGAAGCACTTTTTCATCAAAAAAAGATGGCGGCGCCCAGTTGACGCCAGTACCGGGCCGCGGCGCCCAGCTGATGCCGGAACGGGGCCGCGGCATCGAAAAGGTTGGGGATCACTGCCCTATATCATTTCTAAGGTTCCCACAATTTGTTGTCTTTGGCTTGTTTTTCTTTATTTCGCAATTAAGATGCGCAGAGCGCAACGGACATATTTTAAGAAGGCAGATTCTGCTTGTGTCCTTCCAGTCTGGAAGAGAGGAAGCAGAAGAACAGGGGAAAAAAAAAAAGATTGGAAAGGAAACGAGTCAACTCAGCCGCTGTTCTTTAAGTCAGAGATTTGGATCATGATCAGCTTATCCCAAAACAAGCCAGGGAGATAAAAAGCGAAGTTGAGGGCAGGCAAAATATGCGCACTCATGTTCAGAAGAGGTTATGTGGAATGACTGTAAGGATGGCTAAGATGAACTTCAAGCTCACTGGAGCTTAGAATTTACCACACACCAAAAAAAACTTGAATAAGCTGCGAAATAAGGGAAAAGGCTGAGACTTCGGCGACCTTATCGAAAGCTCCTGAGATCAAAGTCAAATACCAATAAAGGAGAATATTGCAGGCTTGAACTGTGCTGGTGCTTTCAGCTTGTTTGGTTTCTTGCAGATGTTTCAGTACCCAACATGGTAACTTCATTAGTACTAGAAGGGAGTGTGCAAACCTTCTAACACTGATGATGTTGCCTAAACGGGTAATGAAACGTCCACGAGGAAACAGCCAACTACTAAGAAGCATCAAGGACCTCTCAGATCCAGGTCATCCAACTTCCGGTAAAAGGACTCGGCCGTTATATTTGGCCTTCAGAGCTTTGCAATCTTGAGTGTTTGGGAATGGCTGAATGAGATGAAGGTTACAAAGAGGTTGGTACATCCCTAACCCATGTGGTGAGATATTAAAAAACAAAAACCTATAAATATATAATTGCATCTTTAACCATAATGGACAAGCACCTTACTGCTAATCGAAATTACATTTGGGTGGAAAATTCAGGACATGATCAAGTGGAACTGTGACATTTGTAGAAAAACAGGTGGTGGGTGGGATTAAATCTCAGGTGAGACCTATCCAGATCTGAAACTGTCGATCTAATAATGTAGTAGAGACCGAGTTTCTCCCACCTCAGTTCACTCTTGTAGAATTCAACCGGTGGAGTTTCAGGAGCATCTGCAGGCTGAAGGAGGAAATTGCATCACACACACAGCATGACCTCACCATGGAATGACTGAAGAATGCAATGTGGGTCATGTACAGGTTGACATTGTCATAGGATATTAGGTTTCCTGGGAGTTTGAAATACAAAATGGCTTCTCTTGTTTTCTTACCCAAAATAATTGACCTCAAGTAAATATTGATTTTTCTTCTCTCTTCTTGTCCACCCATTGATCATGATATCATAGTGTAGACCTGCTATCCTTCATGGGTATTGGCATTGTCAAAGCCTTGAAGATGGTAGCTATGAACATCTTATTTAAACCTCTCTCTTTTTCACATGTGTTGTGTATGTGATACCCAGAAAAGCCCGGGGGGATCAATTGCGCAGCCAGCAACTTTAATATGTGTGGTCTTCAATTTCCAGAATTCCCCAGCCAACATGATGGGATGGACCACAGTGAGGAGGTGGATTCCCAGATGGGAGGGGGCATATTACAGAAGAGTAAGAGGCAACTTTACCCAGATATGTGTGAGAGAAAGCGGGTGAAGACAGGCCCTCCCTAATAGTTCTCAGAGTATATGGTAGATGCAGAGAGTAGAGTGCTTTAGTCTGGCAAAACCAAGAACGACACATGGTGAAACTTACAAGCCGAGTTCTTTATTGTTCCACATCTATAGACAGAATCTTGCCAGACTAAAGACTCTATGATCCACATCCATCATACACTCTGAGTACTAATAGGGAGGGGCTGTCTTCACCCTCTTTCTCTCATACATGGTATCCTGGACTGAGTTGCCTCTTACTCCTGTGTAATGTGCCTCCTTCCCATCTGGGGATTCACCTCTTCACTACATTCCATCACAAATGTCTAGACTTCAACTCCCAGAATTCCCCAGCAAGCATCTTTGAACATAGAAGAACAGAGTTGGAAAGGGCCGTGAAGGTATTCTAGCCCAACCTGCTCCTTAATACTATTTCAGACAGATGGTTGTCCAATCTCTTCTTAAAGGCCTCCAGTGGAGCATCCATAACTTCTGAAGACAAGCTGTTCCACTAATTAATTGTTCCCTCTGTTAGGAAATATCTCCTTTGTTCTAGATTGCTTCTCTCCTTGCTTAGTTTCCATTTGATGCTTCTTGACCTGCCTTCAGGTGCTTCGGAGAATAGGTTGACCCCCCGTCATCTTTGTGGCAACCCCCCAAATATCTGTGGACTTCAACTCCCAGAATTCCTCAGTCAGCATTGTAGCAGGGAAATTCTGGGAGTTTAAGGCCATGCATCCTTAAGGAATACTGAGGAATACTGCAGTAAACATCAACAATGACCAAAAACAAAAGGCTGATAGCTTATTTCTTTAAAAAACAAAAACAAAGGAAGGCTAAAGATTAAGGAAGAGACTAACGTCACATCAGATCCCCAAATGAACTTGCTTGGCTTTTCCTTCAAACCCAGCAGACTTTCTGGGACACGTCCTATATGCTGAAGACACGGCTCTCTGCATTTGAAACCCAAGAGGGCCCCGAGGGGAGTGCAAACCTCCTCTCCACCAACACACGAGTGACTCCTCCTTTCTGTACAACTCATCCACATCTTTGTTTTCCCGCCAGGCATCCATTGCGACAGTGTGTGCTCGCCTGGCCGTTGGGGACCCAACTGCTCCATTGCCTGTAACTGTGAAAATGGAGGTTCCTGTTCTCCAGAAGATGGAATCTGTGAGTGCGCCCCAGGCTACCGAGGGCCCATGTGCCAGAGAAGTAAGAACCTCATGCTTTGCCTTATAGATTCCATGTGGCAGTTCCTCCTTTTGATCCAGGTTGCTATTCCTGAATCCCTCCCGAACTTGCTGACAAATTGAATTTTTGCATGTGACGGTAGCAGTGGTGGGATTCAAACATTTGTTTACTACCGGTTCTGTGGGTGTGGCTTGGTGGGCATGGCAGGGGAAGGATACTGTAAAATCTCCATTCCTACTCCACTCCAGGGAAAGGTTTCTGCAAAATCCCATTCCCTCCCTACCCCACTAACCTGGTTTCCAGCTCCTTTCTCCTGTGCAGGGCAACCAAAGGAGATCCAGCCGATCAGCTGGGACTCAATGGGAGGCAGAGAAGAGATGGGGTTGGCGGAACCAGTCAGAGGTGGGATTTGCCGGTTCTCCAAACGACTCATAATTTCCACTACCTGTTCTCCAGAATTGGTCAGAACCTGCTGAATACCACCTCTGGATGGTAGGAAAAGGACAGTTCATAAGTGGATAGTAAGCATATCAGCGGTTTTTATTGTATTTTAATTTACAGCCGATGTGTAAGATACAGTTAATTTACAGTCAATGTGTAAGATAGGGTCCAAAAACCTGTGAGTGTTAATTGTGACCATAGTCGCTGGTATCTTCACTGTTTTGGCCATTTAGACATCTCTACAGCAGAGATATCCAAATTCAGCAACTTTAAGACTTGTGGGTTTTAACTCCTATGTGGAATTCCCCTCCTATGAGCCATGGTGGTGCAGCGGTTAGAGTGCAGTACTGCAGGCTACTTCTGCTGACTGCCATCTGCTTGCAATTTGGCAGTTCAAATCCCACCAGGCTCCAGGTTGACTTGGCCTTCCATCCTTCCGAAGTCAGTAAAATGAGGATCCAACCATTGTTTTTTTGTTTTTTTCCTGCCTTCTGGTGCTTTAGAGAATAATGATCATCATCATGAATGGTCATGTCACTTTTTGTTCAGTGCGTTGCAACTTTGAATGGTCACTAAATGAACTGTTGAAAGCCAAGGAGTATCTGTACTACTGTACTAATACCACTGCAAGTAATAACAACAACAAAAATAATGGATAGTGATATCAACTAATGGGGGTTGATACTACTAACCATTTTGGAGAACCTCGCTGTAGGCCCAAAACTGGTTGGTCCCCTGTTAAATTACCCTTCCCTTCTGCAATTCTTTAGTTTGATTCTCATCAGCTCAAGGTTGCCTCAGCCTTCCATCTTTCCAAGGTTGGTAAAATGAGGACCCAGATTGTTGGGGGCAAGAGGCTGACTCTGTAAACTGCTTAGAGAGGGCTGTAAAACACTGTGAAGGGTGTATAAGTCTAAGTGCTATTGCCCTTTTCTCTCTTTTCCTTCCTTCCTTCCTTCCTTCCTTCCTTCCTTCCTTCCTTCCTTC